TTCCTCCATTGTACAATTGGACTGATAACAGCACCTTCCTATTCTGTGAGGATTAAATGGACAAAGTACGTGCTCAGTGAATGTCAGCTGTTGTCATGGTCTTCTTGTGTATCACTTCTTTGTGCATGTGAAGAAAAGCCCATAGTTATTATATTAACTATTGCTTATTAAGCCTTTATTATATGACAGGTATTATGTTAACTACTTTAGAAGTATTTAGGCCTCACAACAGTCTTACCATCTAAGAATTATTACATTTTGTAGATGAGGAAGCTCAAAGTTAGAGAGATTATATCATTTGCCCAAGGAAGGCGAAGCTGGAGCTCCAAAGCGGGCTAGAGCTTACTGTGCCGTGCTGCCTTCTGGTGTCACCACCATCTTTCCGATTATGGTCTAGAACTTAATGGCAACCGTGTCTGGGGACATCTTCACTAAGAAACTCCTCTGACCCCCTTACCGCTCCTTGGCTGGGTTAAGTGCCCCTGCGTTTCGGCGGCACTCTGAGCTGGCCTCCACCTTTGTGCTCGCCACATAGAACCATAATTCTTTGTTTGTTTTTCTTTCCCATCGGAAAGACTGTGCTACTTGGGTTAGGGACCATATTGTTGACTTCCGAATCCAAAATAGGATCTTTAATAGATGAATGACCACAGGTAAATTCCCTAATGCCTCCAGCTTCAGTTTCTGTAAAATGGATATAATAATAGTACCCATTTTATGATTAAATGACTTAATGTAGATTCAAAAAGCTTGATACAGCACCTAGCACATAATAAGTGTTCAAAAGATAGTAGTCGCTGCAATTATTGTTATATAATAATATCTTGTACTGTGCAGATCAAAAAGCTCCTAGTGAGTCTCATTGCATTTCTCTGCAACACCAATGTGATTTGGGGCTTCCGTCACCCTCATCCAAAACCAGTGAATTAAGCTTAGGTGGAATATACCTGCTCCTCTGGTTTGCTCTCATAGAAAGGAAAGCCTTGACAATGGAGCCCAGATGTTCTCATTTGAGCTTCGGGGGTTCTGATGCCTGGGCCAGAGGCTGCTTGCTGACACTGCTCCTGAATGTTGCCACCGTGCCCAGCAAATTGCACATTCCAATGGCCTTGTGTTACCAATGATATAATAAACAATGAGGGTTGAGATCCATTCCTCCCAAATGAGCACTCTCTGCTGAGAAGGCAGGGGAGAGGGGATGAGTGGGGCCTCTCCTCTTGGGGTGATGACTTGGGAAAGGGGGAACACAAGAGAACTAACATTTGCAAACTCCTTTTAGTGTGCCAGCCTTAGTGCCAGGTGCTTGGCATTCACTGTCCATTTGATCCTCCTGACAATTCTGTAGGGATGTGGCCTCCTCATTTCATGGATGCAGCTGAGGTTCCCACATGTTAAGGCAACATTTCGGTTAGCGGTGGATCCAGGATTTGAACCAAAGGGTATTTAACTCCCAGCCCATGTGATTTCCTCTCCAATATGTGGCCTTCCAACTTGGGTTCTGGTTCCAGCCTCTTCCTATAAATAGAATCTAAGCTTTTTGGACGAAGACTGTGCTCCTACTTCCTCTCTCTCCCCGTCACCTCCAGTTTGATACTTAGTAGAGAATGCTCATTGTGTTAGGTCAGTGCTGGTATAAAAATTTCCCTCTGGTAACTAACTGAGTGGCTTCGCGCTGGGACAGAGCTGAATTCCTCAAGTGAGTAATCTCTTTTTAAAAAGCCCATATGTTTTTCAGTGGTTACAGGACTTGACAGGGCCTAACTTCAAATTGACTGAAGCACTCCTGACAGCATTTCGTCAGCTCCCGAGGTGGTGCTTCATCCTAGGCCCAGCACAGGTGGCGCAGGGGGCGTGGCAGGGCAGCTGCTTTTGCTCAGTGCCCCAAGAGTGCCCTGCACTGGCCGAAAACAAGCTGTCGGTCCCCAGGGGGAGCAGAAGGGGGAGCAGAGTCTGAGTCAGGACTCTGGGTTTGTGGCCCGTCTGTCTGTCCATCCATCTGCACGTTCGCCCAAGGGGCTAGTCACCGCGGGCACAAGTCACAGCTCAGAGGAAGGGAGGCAAGACTGGCACCCTACCCACGGGCTGCCGGCATGTCCTCTGAGATCATTGTCTTCTCCATGCCCAGTACTAAATAAAAGCAGCTTTAAAAGATGTATTTCAGTAGACTTTTTAGAAAGCCCATAAAACATTCTGGATATAAAGAAATGAGGCATAAACCTCAGAATGTTTGGAAGTCAAGCTGAAAATTGTGGTAGCAAGTCTCCGTATCCATTTATTAAGTGGGAGCATAACTTAACAGTTGCATCAGAACGGATGCTGAGAACCACTTATATTCGGTACTGTTGTTTTAGAAACGTTTTACCCCCCTACGTGCCGCAGACTTGGAGCAGGATCCAGAGCTGGCCTTCGCCTGGATGGGGAGAACTGGAGTGCGAGGCTGACCTGAGGAAACTTTCGTTCGGCCGGGTCGAGTGTGCAGCACTCGGGTCACGACCTCGCTCCTGTTACCGTGCGCGTTTCCGCCGGGCCGGGGCCCCGGATCGGATAGCATGCACCCACGAAGGCCCGCGGCAAGCGCCGGGCATCCCTTCCCTTCTCTGTTGTTTTCATTTTCCTCTCGTGAACCTTGCTACCCCGGCTTCAGCACGGAGGCTGTAAAGGAAGATGGAGAGCCGAGTTACCTCAGAATGATCACTATCGTTAACATTCACGGGTGGTTCACTTATCATTCCTGACTGCACAGACATGGCAGCCGCTCGGAAGCGTCCGCAGGTGTAGCATGGTGATACATATTACATTGTGCCACAATGGATTTATGTATTCTGTAACAAAAGAAAAGTGTAATGAAAAAATACAGAAGGTAATCCTTTATTCCTCCACCGCACAATTTATCAGTAATGCCTGTGGATGATAAGTGCCAGGGATTTCCTCTGCTTGCTTTAACCTTGTCACCCAGGTACATTTTGGTAAAATGACAGAAAAATACAGACTAGGGATTTTCCTCCATTCGAAAATCTTTGAAAAAGACGCTTTTAATTTATGGAAGTTAGTCCAAACACAAGGCTTCCTTTCGAGCTTTTAGTCTGCCTACGCCGAAAAAGATAAACATATTGGTTTGAAATAATGCTGTCAGCCGGCAGCAGATTACGAGAGAATGTAAAGCAGTTTATAAGCAGACTCAAATCTAACTTAGTTCAGGTGGAACCCAGGTGGATGGAAGTTTGCGAGCTCTGGCCCAGCACTAGCATGTGAGCACCCGACAACGTGTGTTCCCTTTTAGGCCCCACTCATCCACCGCCCAACATATTGTCACAGATGGAGCGCACACTGACTTCTGAGGAGAAGGCAGGGGAAGGCAAGTCTGAACGCGGATGATTGGCATTTGTTCCAAACACAGCCTGGCCTGGCGCCAGAGCAAATACCCCCAAGTTTATAAATGCACAAGGCACTTTACATTTCAGTGCTCTTGCCAGAGTATCACTTACTGCATCGCGCCCTAAATATAGTTTTTAAAAAAGAGCTATTTCTTATTTTGCTTTGATCAGTAAAATAAACTTTTAAAGATTGTTCTGGGATGAGGTCCAGCTTCTGAGGTAAAGAATGGCCAGGGCTCAGGCATGATTCAGTAACAGAGTGTTCAGTAAAATTAGCTTGACAGTTCTCAGGCCTGCTGTTCAATAGCAAGAACTTGACCAAGTTAAAATGGATGATCGTGCTGGCTAGACCAGCGTCGGCTTTTGCTTTTTAACAAATGGAATGTCAGGGATTAAACAGCGAGCCGTATGGAGAGGAGGGGTGTGGAGATGTCTTTGTATTAGGGAAGCAAATTGGGTCCTCGCCTTGGAGATGGGCCCCCAGCCCCTGCGGAAAGCCAGCCACTTGGTTGGGTCCAGGCGAGGTTTAAGCCCCTTCCCAGCCTGCCCTACCGTTGGGAAGCCTTTCCATGGCTTAGCTTGGGGCTTGGCTTTTCTTTCCGTTTTCTTGTCAATGTGAAGTTCTGCCATGTTTTTTGGCCATGTTCCCCTCCGAGATTCTTGTGGGGAAATGGGAATGCAACCAGACTCCTTGTGGCAATTCCCATGTTCCATAGTTGGAAACTCGGGTCCCATTTGTTACATGAGCTGCTCGGAATTAGCCTGTTTTGTTCCAGTGCCCAAGCATAGTGAGTAAGATATTTGTGATACTTGCTCTTGCAATTAACAGTCTTAGTGAAGTTATACCTCACCAAGGGGCAGGCCTGTTTTTAGGGTACTTGTTTCTTACCAGCTCATTTCTATCTAAAGGAAAACCTCTCCCCTTAAAGTTAATTGGCTAGAAGCTTACAAATTAGTATTAGTAGTTTGTCTTGTAATTGTTTATGCCTCAGCTAATATCCTGTTTGACCTTTTAGGACTAAGTAGATTAAAACATTCCTACTGAAGTGTGCATAGACATAGACTATATAGTGAGTGTGTGAATGAATGAACGAATGAATGTTTTTGTTGGTTGGTTGGTTGGTTTTTTTTTTACTGGTCAGTTATGAAGAGCCTTTTCCTTATTCTAAATTGCTTTGGGCTATCACCCCCCACACACACACACAGACACTCACACACACATATAACATGACATTTTTTCCTCCAGGGCTCCATGAGCTTTAATATTATGGTAGTATCTGCCTGCAGTGACATCTACTGACACAAGCCAAGTTTATCGTTTGTCAATCCTTGCTGCAAGATTTGGCTGGGGAGCCAGTATTAGTGACCCACACAGACCAATTAGATCCAATTTGAGATAAATTAGGAAAACATTCTATAACTCTGACCTCTCTTTCACTTGGAACTGTTCATACTAGAATGCGTTCTGTCTCTGTCTCTCTGTTATTAGAAGTAGGGTTATTTAACCTATTTTTAAATAATTGGCACTTTGATGTACACTTATTAAAACTTAAACACAATGAAGACTGCAGTGACATCGCTCTGGTTGAATGTTGGTGATGATTTAATATTTGTCTCTCCCTACAGAAATGCTGCTCACGGATTCTCCCTTATTCAGGTGGACAACACAAAGGTCACCATGAAAGAAATCTTGCTAAAGGCAGTGAAGCGAAGAAAAGGATCCCAGAAAATTTCAGGTAGGATAGTTAAATCATACCCCAGCGACAGAAGCTTAACCCTTAGTTAAAAGTGCTTGGTGTGTGTGTGGGGCGGGGGCGGGGTGGGGAGAGGAGTGAGGGAGGGAGGCAGGCAGGCAGGCAGGCAGGCAGGCAGGCAGGCGGTATGGCTGGTTTCTGGATGTTTCAGGTATCAGTGCCAGAAGCTTGATTAGCAGGTCTATGGCAAAAAAAAAAAAAAAGTGATTTTTAAGTTGCCCCTGGGCCCAAGGAAGAGACTGGGTCAGTGGCATATGTGAGAAGAATGTGTTCATGTGGGTTATGGAAGTTCCGTCATTAATAATTTTGATAGATGAAGACAAAGCTACTTGAGCCAACTATCAGTTGGTGTAAAGCTGTCTTGAAAACCGAATCCTAAATTTGAAGCACTGCTTTTAATTTCATGTTTTCACATAATTTTCAGTGGGGGAAACTTTTAGTTGCTAGTGTTTGCGATGTGGAATAAAGCGGGAAATTCAGTTTTACTAAATGAGGGCAACTGTTACAAAAAATGTTTTTAAAGATAAATCACTTGATGCACAGAAATACCTGTTAATCTCTAATTTCTCATTACCCAACTTTATACAGAAAATAAGCTTATGGTACTGTGATATTTAAAAGATAAGAGAAAAATATTACCGATATTGAGAAATAATTATTTTAAGAAATACCTCAAAGATTTGTCATACCGCAGACAACCTAAGTATAAATCAGCCTGTATATGATATGTCAAATAGCTTTGTAAATGAACGAGACTTCTTAAACACTTTTGGTTTTATCTTTTGGAAAGGAAAAAAGAAAGCATTGTTCAGGTTGAAGAAAATAGTTTTGTGTTCTTTTTAAGGGGAGGCATATAATCTGTTCCAGATTTAATTAGCTATCTTCAGATGAAAGCTGAAGTTTTAATAAAAGTTAGAAGAGATAACACAGTGAAGGACACGGATGAGCTGTCTCAAGGCCATATTCCAGGGGAACGATAAGAGCTGTAAAAAATGGCAGAGGAGAGCAATTGAATGGAGCAATGAAAATCTGATTCTCATAAAAAAGAGAGAGAGAGAGATGCTGGTAGGGGCGGTTGTAGATGAGACCTGCTAGCGTCTGCAAGCAATTTGGATGCTCGCCAGGAGTCATTGTTCACCCTCGGCTGTGGCGGCTCCGTCCAGATGTGCCAACTGCACGTTTCGGCTTTTGCCAGCTGACTGCGCCGTTTGATAACCAGCTCTCTGGATGCCCATCACTGGCCGCAGAGATAGAATTAAATGATGATGATCTTCCCACAAGTTGGGAGAGGAAACAATGCATATAAATCTTGATTTCATCTCAGCATGAGAAGTCTTTATCCATCATCACTCATAATGAACAAGTCGTTAGCTGGGATGAATGGTGTTCTGGTTTTTCCAAACACCTCTTTTGTTCATTTTTTGGGTGACTTTTATCCATTGCATGGGGGTCAAACCTCTTTGTATTTAGGGGATGATTGAAGAGGCATAGCCTCGCCTTCCCAGGGGAAAAGAGCTATGTTGGGGTTCTAGGCGCCAATCGTATTTAAACAGCTTCGGACATTTAGAGATATTTAATAAGCATTAATCTTTCTTTACGATCCTGGATTTTTTCTCTTGTCCCTAAGTTTTCTTTACATAATAGTGTATTTTGTGACGTACTCATTTATTCTAAGATAGCATTATTCTGAACTGGCCATGAGGAGGTAGAACTAACTTTTAACCTTCTCAATAGAAATTCTGCTGTCGCAGATTTTTTAGACCGTGAAACCTCCGTGAAGTGACTGGGCTACCGCCGAGCCGGTGTCTTTCGCTCTGTCTCCTCTGTCCCAGCCACCTCTGTCCAACCGAATGCCTGTTTTTCTGCGTCCATCTCCAGTAAGCACGTTTAGCGCACACACGTTGATTTATGTTCACCTTTGTACACACATCCCTGCCATTTCCGTCAGAGTCTTTGCCATACCCTTGGCAAAGAATTAGGACTCGTTATCCGAAAAACAGTGATCTGCATTATTTATTCCTTTTTATACTACAAAAGTCAATTGAGATTGATGCATTTACATAAATTACTGTCCATTTTATTAACTTAGAAAGCTTTTTAAAACAAGAAGCTCTTTCTGTTGCTTTATTAACTCTAGTCTCACGAAATAGAAGGATCTCCAGTTTGGCGAAGAGGTTTATTTAAGGTTAGCTTGCTAAAGGTATGGTATAGTTTATATTTTTGAACTTCGTGTTGTGGAGTGGACCTGTTTTGGAGGGTGATTAATGAAAAGAGGAAAATCCTCTTGTCACAGAGAGAAACACAAGTATATTTACTTAAAAAAAAAAGTCTTGGTGCTCGCAGTTGGCTCACCTATTGTGACATGAACTTAGTCTCGAACTCGGTGGCAGGAGATGCTAGGTTAGAGATCCTCATCCTGTATTTCCTGAGCCTCTACCACAATGACCTGCTAATGCTAAGTCTTTGCAAGCAGATGCCTGCCACCTCGACGTCTGGGACAGAATGGAGTGCTCAGCCTGCAGACAGCTTTCACCTGTCTGAGTGCCGAACCACACTGGTCCCTTTGCTACTCTTTGAATATAAGTGAAAGGGGAGACGTGCCACTTGAGATCGAATGTGTGCCGTGTGGAGTTGAGAGTTCTCACACTGTTTGTTCATTAGAGGTTAGTTTTATTAGATCAGGATTTCAGAAAGCCTTTGATAGGCTGACAGTGAGCTTCTGACAGCTCTCCATTTAATAATTAATAACAATAATAATAATAATAATAATAAATTGAGAACTACTTCATTATTAAATCAAGATGTGGACATAATGATTGTCCTAACATTTAAGTTCTCTGTTGCCCTTCCCCGTGGCACTCTCTCTACAATTATCATTTGTAAAAAAATCAGAAGGTGATAGGTATTTGAACAAAAGAATTCTTCTTTGTTTAGGTAAATAGCTTTGTCAGTGGAAACACTTAGGGTTTAAAAATATTTTTTGCTTTTTGTGGATAGAATGTCATTATAGACACTTGTAACCGATCTAAAATTTTGACTTGCATTATTTGTAATTATTTCATCAAGTCATAACTCTTTATGAACACTGCAGGGTTTTTTCTATTAATATTCATGTACTGAACTATAGTAATCTTTTCACAGTGTGTTCCAGTCAGTTCTCTGCTAGGCCGTTTTTTAAAGCCCATTTTTAAATGTCTCTTTTTAAAAAGTTTCTCTCTGGCTTTTCGTTTTATTACTGACCTACTTGACATTTGGAATCTACCTGCATTGCAGTGCAAAAAGTCCACACTGTTTAAGAAAAATGTAAATGGAGAATGCAGTTTTAGAAGAATTAGCTAGAACCTCTACTAATCTTAACAGTTGATGGACGTGTTTTTGCCATAATGAAGAGTAGCCTGTCTGGTCCCTTGATTTAGCTGGTAAAATATACTAAACTGTTATTTTGTGAGTAAAGGCCTTCGTTCATCAAGTTCTCCTTTGGTCACGTTTACCCGCACAATCAGTGACCTTCTGAGCTCCTTAGTATTTTGTTGTTGTTTAAAACTGCTGCTTCCTACCGACCCTCACCAGCCTCCTGAAGCATGATGTTGGGTATGACAGAGACACTTGAGAAATGGAAGCAGATCCAATTTCAGTCCTAACGTTGAGGCAGACATACCGTGTAGGTATCTCTTGATCTGCGAAGGAGAGAAGGCTTTGAAGTGGGATTTTCCAAGCAGAATAATTTTCTACAGGGCTCTCTTTCAGTATTTGTTGTCATGAAACAAAGGTGTTTTTCTTTGTCATCTATTGAAAGATCGAACCAGAAGCATATGAACTTTTTCTTAACCCTGTCGATTCTTGCCTTTTGATGTGAAAAGCAAACTTTTATTAATCTGCAGATCCTTTTGAAAATTCTGTACAGTGTTGTTAATAAGACTTACGACATTCGCTCTTACCTTTCCTTTGCAGAATTTCACCTAGAATTTGAAAGATAAATGTTAACTTTGTTGAGTGGACCCCCTCTTAATATCTCGGCTTAGAGTCACAGACCACCTTACTACTTGCTAACTTACTGTTTTCACAGGACCCCTGGAATGTGACCAGTGAGAACGTCTAGTCTAGGACTTCTCAGACATTATACCCTAAAGGACCACTAGGAGCAGAGAGGAGTTGTGAACACATACCTACCACAGGGTGTGTGTGGGGTTCAGATCTGAGAGGCAGCTAATGATAACGTCATTGGATTCTCAAGGTTTATCTTCAAAATGCATATAAAATATGCATATTGATCCATAATATATTTGTAGTTGTGTTGAACATTGACTCATCATGTGCTCCTAAGTGCGGGAGTTGTGCTGGATACAGGGAGACAGTGGTAAAAGGCCCTTGCTGAGCGGGGAGGACCTCACATTTTAGAGGGAGAGTAGTTACAAGGGGCTGAGAGAGAGAAGAAGAAGATGCAGGGGAGCTCAGGGTATAGCATGGATGGGCAGGGAACTCCTCCCTGAGAAGCTGACATTTAAATTGTGACCTTTGCGTGTAAGACAGGAAGAGTGGGGGAGGGGCCGTGGCTGTTAGAACTTGCTGTGTTTTATTGTAAAAAGAACACTTTTTCACAGTCAATTTACTTACCTGCCCCTCCCCCCGCTAAAAATATTGTAGTAAAACTGACCCTTGAATTCTTCCCCGTGCTAACTCCCCATGTCTCATCCATTAGCAAGTCCTACCAATTTTGCCTCCTGAATATATCCTCAATCCGTTCAGTCCCGATTACCATGACTTCACCTGGACCGTTGAAAATAGCACGCTAGCTGGATTTCCTGCATCTGTTCTTGGCCCCGTCCAGTCTCTTGTCTACATAGCAGCCAGAGAGATCTTTTTAAATATAAATCAGATCATATCTGCTCCAAACACTTCAGTGACTTCTAGTTGCATTCAGAATAAAATCCAAACTTCTAACCACTCTGAAATACACTGAGTCCCAAAGAGGGGTGGGGTGT